TTCATTTGTTAACTATCACGTTTAATAAGAAATATTAATGTGAAAGAAAAAAAAAATTTTGAATCTTGTCGATAAACGTTGTAAAATGTAAAAGTCAATTAACTTTCATCTTATGAATAAACTAAATGTATTGTAAAAAAAAAATTTATCCTATGTAATATTATTGACTGCTATGAACGCGTTTTCGGAACTGGTTTAGATTAATATTCTCGTCTCGGTTTTGGGTCATGACCGTTTCAAGGTTCTTTTTTGGTCGGCCTCGCTTTTTTTTTACAGGAGGCATATTTTCCTTTTCTTTTTCCTTCTCACATCTAATTTGTTCTTTTTCCTTCTCACACCTAATTCTTTCTTCTTTTTCCTTCTCGGACCTAATTCTTCCTTTTTTTGGTCAGCCAACGGCCTTGCTTTTTATAGGGTTGTTAATTATTGGATGTTCTGGGAATGCCGATGCATTCTCATGAGTTGAAACAAAATCATTGTCAGCATCATATAATGCCTCCAAATATTTTTCGAGATATGACGTAAATCTGCACATTTATGGGGATCGTTGCAATTTTGTTTGCGATTTCTCCTGATAGTCGATGGATATGCATAAATCGGATTCGAGAGTCACCTTCACCAAATGATTCATGTGATGCTAAAGTTCCTGGATCTTGTGGTTGTGTATGGCTATAAAAATTGACATAGTCTTTTGCAAGCTCCAACTTGGGCAGGTCCTTTTGCCAGTGTTTTGGAAAGTGGACAGGATCGAGTTGAGCGAGAGACAGGCGAACCGCAACTGCAAGGGAATGGCGACAAACTATTCTAGCAAATTCGAGATTGCAGCAGCAACAAGCAAGCACCTTGCCATCATAGTAGACACGACGTATAACGTCAGGCCTTTCATAACGTGACAGCTTAAAACAACACATTCCATTGTCATTGGTTATTTTCTCACATGCATATGCATCTTTTTCACTCCATTCTGCCTCAAATTTCTTCCAGGCATATCTCATCAGACAACTAGCAGCCTGGTTTTCAATTGGATTTGGAAAATCTGAAGGTATGGGGTAGACAAGCTCTTTGTAAGCAGAAATATGTTCCGCCTCTTCACGAAAGTAAAGTGCATGCTTAAAGGCTGCTAAAAATTCTGTGAGCCTTGTTTTACAATCTACGAAGCCCTTTAAAAAACTGTTCATTGATTCACCCTTCTGCTTTGACGACATGTCAGCAAAAAAATAATCTTTTAAATATGCCGAGGCCCACCGTTCACGCCACCGACTAAGAACTCCCAGGTACGACTGTGCCTCAGCATAGTTTTCATTTTTTATTATACATTTCTATTGCTTTTCAAACTCGGTTTTGTCAATATAATGACTTAAACATTTCATAAGATCCGCGTGAAACATGTTATACTTCGTTCCAAACTTAGAGGTCATATTGGACCTTATATTCTTTACCATGTGCCAGATACAAAGACCATGTTTTGTATCATACTTATTGGTAAGGACAGAACGGATAGCATCGGCCATCATGAGATCGTTATCAGTGAGAATAGTATTGGGTGCGGTGCCGAATATATGAATAAAAGCTTTGAAAAGCCATTTAAAACTCGAAGAAGTTTCATCATGAAGTAGCGTATCAGCAGCGCAATAAGAGAGACCATTATTGGTGATGCCTGTAAACACCCCAAAAGGCATCAAAAAATAATTGCTCTTATATGTGTTATCGTACACAATCATGTCATGAAAATGCATATATTGTCGTTTTTGTGCAGCATACACCCAGATCACATGTTTCAACTGGTCATTTTTATCCAATTCAAATTTGTAAGAAAATTCGGGGTCATTATTATGTTTTTGTTGGAGGAGGAGAAGAAAATCATGGGCTTGAAATTCATTACGCAATGTGTGATCAGCATCAACCAGATTATACACATCCTTTATTAACTACTTCTTCACGACTGTTTCGTATTTCATTGTAAGAAGGGATTGGATTTGCAGTATTGCAATTCCTGCTTTTTTTGTAGTAAGAATTTCTTCTTTAATGAAGCCTGATATTTCATGGTTAGCAGGCAAAATGTGCATGAGTTGAAGTGGAATTAGTTTATGATTATGGTGTAGATTTACTTGTGATATATAATATTTGTTGTCGTCCTTATTATAATTAAGACGAACAGACCAGGGGCAGTTGCACTTTTTTGATTCCTTATTTCTATTTTTCTTATTCGGATCTTTAGGTTTAGGTTTGAACACGCCATAGCGATCGCAAGCAAAAACTTGAGCAGAACGCAAACCATCCTTATAATTGTTGCCTTTTAAGAAAATCACTTTAAACTTGCTTGTTTCAGCGAATTGATCAGCGACATATTTGAAGGCCTCAAGAGAGGCATAACCCTGGTTACACTGAAAAAGTGAGTTACTTGGGGTTTCGGGTTCCAGTAGGGCTTCGGGTTCCAATAGGGTTTCGGGTTCCAAGATGATCTCGAATTCTGAGGAGGTTTCGCGCTCGAATGAAATTTCAGATTCCAATGTAGGTTCTAGTAGGGTTTGAGATTCATAGTTTTCATCACAGCTGGTAGATTGATTCGGAACAGCTTCTTAAAACAGAGACGGCTGTTAGTTTTTTTATACAGTATTAAACAAATCATCCCGATCACTATGCCAAGATCACCCATGATCTTGGCATAGTGATCGGGATGTTATTATTAAAAATTTACCATTAATAAACCGTTCTTGTAATGTTCCTTCTTGCTGCATGTTGGCTATGTTAAACTGTTTTTTTCTTTCAAGTCCAACAGACCTTGATTTGAAATTCTTATATCTTTATTATGCTGTCACTATTTGAAAGGCTTGGTTTCTTCGCTTGTTTCAAATACCAATGGTTATGGTTTAAAATTTTCTATGCAATGTGAAGTAAATAGGTTCAGAAATTCAGGTTTTTTTTTTTTATTTTTTCGCCTGTTTTAAAACCTTACAACAATTTTAATATTTGGTTTATATTAAAATGAAAGAGCTAACTCCTTTTGAATATTCTAATCAGAAAGTCCTTGACTTGTTTGCTGAGAGTATGAGACGTTGCTGGTTCAAGAGATTCCTTCCTTCCTTATTTTGAATTTTCCTTCACTTTATCTATTCAACAGTGTCAATTAGTAACTTAGTTTATTAAAAGTTCATATTGTTAGGATTGTTTTAGAGAGCAACTGTACTTTCTTTTACCTATATACAAGTGGGTGTTTTTTTTTTTGGTTGGTGTCAGTGTAGCAATGGTAATTGGCAGAGTATGAGACGTTGCTGGTTCAAGAGATTCTTTCCTTCCTTATTTTGAATCTTCCTTCACTTTATATATTCAACAGTATCAATTGGTTTAACTTCGAAACTTAGTTTATTAAAAGTTTATATTGTTAGGTTCATTTTAGAGAGCAAATGTACTTTCTTTTACCTACGTACGTACAAGTGGGTGATTTTTTTTTTTTTGGTTGCACTGTTTGGGCGTCAGTGAACAATGGTAATGGTAAGTAAGAAAAATTTTTAAATTCTTTGTTTGGTAACACACGCATATGACAAATCACGATATTTAAAGGCAATTCGGAGGTGATTCGGTTCTTTAGATCGGAGATATGAGACGATGTCAGTTATTGATTAAAGCCTTGTCACATGATATTCATGTTGTTTGATTGGTCCAAAAGCTGAAGATATATAAGTTATATATCTCTAGCTAGAGATGCCTAGAATTTCCCAATATTTTATTATTAAGAAAGGACTATTATATAAAAAAAATAAAAAGAACTCTCAATACCTTTTTTATATTATTAAATAAAATAAAATAGAATCTGTTTTATATATAATGCATAAATATTTTACTGCAAGATACTTAGAAACAGATACTATGTACTATAAAATAACTGAATAATATTATTAATTCTTTTTTTTTTTTTTAAATATTAAGATAAGTACTTGTGACCTAGGATTTTATTAGTAGTATATTTGGCTAATGGATGCTTTACAACCACAGGAGACAACTATAAGAAGAGTGTACAACTAGCCACTTGTACAACTTTAGTCATTGTCTAATTTAAGTAGTCCACTCAAAGGTTCTATAATAACTGCCATACCTGGAATCTGCTTGTAGATTCTCTATTTAACTATTTTGTTTTCATATCTACTCTTCTACCTCTGTCTACTAATGACCCCAGCTGATGCTGATGAAAATATGTCATGGCTACTAAGTTTTTAAAGCAGTTCATTCACATAAGGAACCTTTGACCTTGTACTAAACCTTCCAGAATCTTCTGTATCCTATTCTTACAGCTAACCTGGTATCACTATAGCTAAGACCAACACTGACAGTCAGAGCATATCATTAAACTGTTATGCCTTTGTAGAGTTTATCCCAACCCTAGTACTAACTTCACAACATATCCTTACTACTTTGGTATTCAATTCAAGTTTCACCAAGCTGCCATTCCAGATAGCCCAGAAAGGTAGCTTGAAACCATACACCTTTGATTTACATATTTGCTAACATGTGCCTTTTTCTTCTAAAACTCAGAAATTTCAGTGGCCTGGTTGGTTCATCTGGTTTCTCCTTAAAGACTAGCATATTTGCCTGGTTTCACAAGTTATAGCTCCATTTTATAAGTCTAGTCTTTACAATAGCATTGTTGAAGGTTCAGGTTATCTCTCTACTCAGGTCTTCCAAGTGGGCTTCTGTCTTCCTATCTGGTTTCTGTAATTTACACAGCCTAAGGACTTATCTTAGGTTCACATCATCCGGTACCGGTTTGTGTTCCTTTATACAATGTTGTATGAGTGCCTAGACCTTTCAGTCATACTAGTATGACATGGGTTACAGGTATCTTATCCCAACCAATCACAGAAGACAGTTAGTCATAATACAGAAAAAATTACAAATTTTTGCCATCATTGGGATTTGAACTCTAGACCTGCCACTTGGAGGTTAACAACCTATCCACTTCACTAGGTCATCACACCCTCTGATATTATTAAGTCTAAATGTATCAAGATATACAAGAATATATTAAAACATATAAAAAATGTCAAAAAAAAGACTCAAAAGCTGAGAAACTGAACCTTTACATTTTATTTAAATAGAACAAGTCTTTAAATAAATTAAAATTAATCTAGTAGAACTCTTACTAATTACTAAACAAAACAATTGATATATTATTATTGTTACAGACTATTTAACAAATAGCCAAAAGTCTATACTATATCAGATGCTAGAGCAAACACTTTAGCTTAGTTTATTTTTGAAAAAATTATTTGTTAATATAGAATATTAAAGATTATTCTTTTTAACTAAGAAAAAATTTTTATTAATAAAACTGTTTACATTTTATATAAAAAGTTTTTTATAAAATATAAGTTTTCTTCATTATACTACTTACAGATAAATAAAATAATTAAACATCTTAATTAAATCTTATGTAAATTATTTACTAAAGTTAAAAAAGATAATAACTAGAATTTACATATACTTGTTATACTGCTTGTCTATCAAACAAAAAAGCATACTATAACTAAATATATTTTATTTCAGCTTGTATACAAATGACAAGCTGTTTTTTTAATTAAAGCTTTATTACCTGTTAAATCTTATAAAAAAACAAAATATAACTTACAAAATAGCATATTTCACTAAGCATTTGAGCTTATTAACAAGCCATTCAAATTGCAAAATAATGCAAAAGAAAAAACCAATAAATTATAACAGAAACAGAAAAAATACTTTAATATCAAAATTCATTATGAAACATTTAAAATAGGTAACAAAATATGAATAATTAGAAAGAACATAAAATATTTTTGATTTGCTAAATTTAAAGATAAAAAAACTAAACCTTTTATTATTTAAGAAAAGTTAAATAATAAAGTCTATAAACTTTATAATAACAAAAAAACATTGCAAAAATACTATAATAGTGATTATTTTGCTAAATATTATAAAAAACAAATATAAGAACCTTTTGTTCAGCTAAAGAAAAAATTCTCTTTCCTGTAGATCGCAAAATACTAAGTAAACAAATAATTGGCAAAACATAGACAAGGAAGTACAAAGTAATTAAATCTTTAGTGACTAACAGCTGCCTCTGGCCTTGGGCTTGCAGTTAACAAACAAGATAAG